GGCCGGGTCGTGAGGAGGTTCGTTCCCTCACGCGCTCCGCCTCCTCCTTAGCTAGCATGACTGCTTCGCAGAAGGAGGAGACGGCATCCCAGTCCCCCTCGCTCCGTACCATGGTCTGAACTAGAGCCGGACGCGAGTAGTCGCCGTCGCCGATCACATTCCTGAGGACACGGCGGTGCTCAGTCCACGCAGGACACACCGCCACCGTATGCTCCACCGTGTCCTCCGGGCGATCCTCGCAGTGAATGCACTTATACCTACCGTGTTCCACCACTTCACTTTCGTCTTTCGTGCACAGAAATTTTAATTACGCTGCCCTATCTGAAATAAACATGACTTAAAGATAGCTCTTTCTCTAGTTCTAGTTTCCAGTTTATACATAAATATTGACTAACTTTGTTTTGCAGTGATCGCTTGGGGCATCATCCCCATCTCAGGAATCCGTATCGAAAGCGGTACCTTCTCTTACGACTCATGGAACTGGTTCGTCGCTGCCTGTGGTGTACCTTCACTCCTTCTCGGTTTCTGGTTGTTCTACTTCCCCGAAAGCCCTAAATTCATGATGGAGTGCGGTGACTACGACGATGCCCTTAAAGTCCTGAAGGGCATTTACAAGCAGAACACCGGTGATGACCCCGAAAACTACCCGGTAAGAAATACTTCCGCACCTATTGAGCCACCTGTTCAAAATTTTTAGACTTCCAGGACCTTTCAATCGTCTGAATTATTATTCATACCTACTAAATCTACATTTTACAGATCAAAAGCCTCAAGGAGAAAGTCCGAACAGTATCTGTTGGCTCCCAGACCTCTGTCAAGTCCGTCCGTAGCTTGAGCATGCGTAAACCTAAGGACCTCAAGCGATTGTTCTCCGAGATCTGGGTCCAGACCAAGGCTCTGTGCAGACCACCCTACCTCAAATACACCATCCTTACCTGCATCATTCAGTTCGGTTTAACTACAAGGTAATAATTTTTCATATTTTTTCAAGCTTTCTATGACCTTGTTATAATTGGCCTTATTATAATTACGCTAATTTTTTGAAGACTCACGCTCAAATACTAAAAGGGTTTTGAATTTTAAGTTACACTTAAATATTGTGCCATCGCTGTCGTTTTACAAAGAATTTGTAGTGACTGAACAATGCTTAAGCGCAACCTAAAATTGCGTCAAATTCTCAAATATGCCTAACATGAGGAGATGAGTGTTACCCACGTTTACACATAGTAGCAGAAACAGTTATCATTTTATATTTACCATTTCATGAAAATTTCAGTTACTACACCCTCATGATCTGGTTCCCCGAGCTGTTCAACCGTTACGAAGAATTCGAGCACCGCTTCCCCAATACTTCAGCTTCAGTGTGTGACGTCTCCGGTATTGTAGTCGTGGACGAGGAAGAAGGCGATCCCTTCGACTGCTTGAAGACCATCGACTCCAGCGTATACATGCACACCCTGATCGTCGGTCTCGCTTGCATCCCCACTTCACTGTGGCTTCCTCTCTGTGTCCACAAACTTGGTGCCAAATTCTTCTTGAGTAAGTATCGTTTAATATTTATGAAATAACATTGTTATTTCGTCGTCAATTAAAGTCATTTTAGCTCGAAGTTTTTGGACTAAGCAATCGGTGCATTTTTTTATTTATGACTCTTGTCTGAAGTACGCAATGTATACTTTGGATCCTTGGAAATTGCCTAATTTAAAATTATATTTGTCTGGTAATTGTACCCATCAGATGATTTAAATATATTAACCCTTAGAGCGCCACGTCAGTCACCGGTGCCTGACGCTAGTGGAGGTTTGACTTTCACCATTTTAAACTTGGCAGTTAAAGTATTAAATTAATAACGTATGCGAAGGTTAAAACGACTTTGTATCTTATTTCAAAATGGTCAATTTTACAATAACCACCTTGTGTTTCAGTCTTCAGTTTAGGATTTGCCGGTGTAGTGACCATCGGCCTCTACTTCGTCCAGAACTCTACACAGAACTTGGTGCTGTCTTGCATCTTTGAAGCTCTCACCTCACTCGCCATCAGTTTAGTATTCTGCGTGCTGGTCGACTTGTTCCCTACAAACCTCAGGTAAAAAACTGTTATAAGAATAACATAATAATATGTAACTAGTCTTGTGAAAATGTTTGAAGTTATTTATGTTTTAGCTCTTACAATTGCTATTCCGTAGAATCTGACTATAGTCAGATAGCTACAAATCTAACCTACTTACTACTTATTTAATTTCATCGCTCTGACTAAAGGTAGAAAAGAATAGAAGTGGTTAATTTGTTCCAACAATGAGAATTGGGTCCGGATTGAGGACCACCCGACAGGGTGACAATTTAACCCCAATGAGTATAATGTTCAGTAGTGAATGTCTCATGGCTGATATTAGGGTGATCATGATGTGTCTGATCTTCTTCTGGTCCAGTTAAAGTTACATGTGATCTTATCAGCGCAGGTTCACCCGCTGCTGGGTGTAGGCCTCCACCATTTTCTGCTATACTTCTCGGTTTTGTGCGTGTCTCATATGGATGAGAATCTTTGGGAACAGCCATCTGTTCCCCATTGCATTTTGGACGACCTTTGTTACATGTAATATGGTTTATATCTACAGGGTAATGGCAGCCGCGCTGTCTCTAACTGCCGGTCGAGGTGGCGGTCTCATCGGCAACCTGTCCTTTGGCTACCTCATCGACATTAATTGCGTCGTTCCTATCGTTGTGTTTTCGGCATTCTTATTCCGTAAGTATTTTATTGATAACATGTAAGAAGACGACATTCTTCCCCAAAGGCTGAGGTGCACTGCACATTTATAGGTATATAAATAAAAATGCATTTCCGTTCGTTAGTCACGCTAAAACTAGAGAACGGCTGAACCGAATTGGCTAATTTTGGTCTTGAAATGATCGTGGAAGTCGAGGGAAGGTTTAAAAGGTGAGAAAAAATGTTTGAAGCGGTACAAAGTTTCCCTTGAGCTAGTTCCGATTATATAAATGTTAACGAAAACTTTTTGCATTTTGTGATATAAAGTTCCATGTATAAAGATGATTAGAGATTAAGTTACTATTCAATTCTGGTTGTTCCAAAATACTTTGGAATTTCTCGTAGTACCTACCTAAAGAGAGACACAATATTATCTCATGTTGTGCCTCATACACCGGCCTGGAACTTTGGAACTCAAACTCAAACGTTCCGCCTACTTCGAAAAACAACATCTACCTTTCTACACTACAATGTCAAGTAATACAATATTCTTTTCACCCACAGTTGCTGCAATACTCTGCTTCTTCTTGCCAAAGACGGGACAGGAAGCCCTAGATTAAGCTACCAGTAATTATTTATACATAGATGATAATTTAGACTGTCACATATATATCACTCGGTTCGAAGTGGTTGTACATACTTAGGTTGTTTGAAGTACGTGTATTTATTTATTGTGTCGCAACTAGGCACCGAACACATACTGCGAACAGTATGCAAATAATTGTTATTGAGTGATGAACTTTACAGTATTTTAGCGTTGACTGTGTAATATAATATAATTCAATTAAATTATTATATTTAAATATTAAAGGTTGATTACCTGATTACTTGTAATGTGTTGTTTCTTTTATCCTGTATTTAATTGATGCAACGAAACGTAATATTAAGTTACAGGACGTTTCTAGGTTATCTGTGACGTTTTGTGTTTTCCGTAGACATTTTAAAGTCCAGCATCTCTTTATGGCAACATATACTGATACCTATTTGATTTATTTTTTGAGAATGCGAGTACTGGATGTTGGAGAGTAATTCCGTAACTGATTTTATTGTTAAAAAATAAATTTAAAAAAAGTTTGTGACGGCATCGGAGACGTTTAAAAGACAATCATTATTGACTCTTATTAACTAGGGATAGTATTTGAAGACACAGTTACCATGTAACTTGGTGTCGTTACACCAAGTTACATGTGCACCTCGTTAGGTGCAAGTTTGAAAAGGGCAATTAGAGGACTATTGTAATTAAACAACAGTAAATAAAAGAAATAAACGTATAAAGATAATAATATATTTAACTTAAGTATATAAAAATTATAAGCACTAGATTACATTTACATATTGTTACACGAACTAAGAATAGAATTTGAATCACAAAACAACATTACAATGCAAATTTTTACTTCACCTTGTATGACAAGAACAAGATCATTCGAAATAAAAAAATAGCAAAAATCATCTATCTGGCAACACTTTATGAAAAAGAATCAACCTGTATATTATGACAACACAATGGTTGCGAAAAATGCATTTCTTTGCAATGAAAAGTGCAAATATACAACGTTCTATAGTTAAAATTCGAATTTTAGTAAAATCCTAACATTAATGTAAAACTAAATAATTTTATAACGAATGAGTGTTATTTAACGTGTTTACAAAGTGAAATCGCAATGTTTTAACCCTTAGTTTAATACAACATATAATTATTAACGTATTATTATGTTTAGATGCAGTACAGGTGTTTTATTATTAAATTTTATAATATTGAGGTAAAACAAAGAGGTACGCGTAAGTGTGTTATGTATATTAATTTCAACGATATTATAGTCAAATACAGAATATATTGGCTTGAAAAATTGTGCGCAACGATGTATAAAGCACTATGTCAGACAATCGTGACACATCAACCAATAAATTAACTTGTAGCTAATAAGTTCTGAACTGCAAAGTAACTTTCAGGATGGCCAATTGAATTTAGACAAAGATGCGTTGTTATAAAGAAACTTTTTTGTCATCAAGACATTAAAAGTATTGTAAAAATGAATTATATATTATATTTATTTTCTGTGTACAAATCTATAAAACGATAATCTATTTTTCGCCACAGCTTAAAAAAGGCAACACACGCGCCAATATAAAAAAAAAAACAAAAAAAAGATACACTACATTAACAAGGTGGTTGACTTAAAAGCAAATCGTAGGGTTTCTAAAGCCTTTACCTGTACCGCGTGTGACGTAACAGATCAGCGAGAAGTTTGCGCGGCACTGGGTACTTGTGGTAGCCCGAATTCATCAACTGGGACCCCGTCCTTGTTGCGGACACTGTCGGCTCCTGGTTCCTTGTCGGGAGCCGCCGGTGCCTTCACCACGTCGTCTAGGTACGATGCATCATCATCCAACGCTATTTCGTCACCTGTAATACGATAAAACAAAGTTATTTACGAAAAATGGATTTTTTTCATCATTATTAACAGTAAGGTCTACTGTATAGTGCTAAATAAAGACCTAATGGAGTTACCATTAGCTTGATAGGACACTTGAAAACTAAAGGGAAGTCACCTAAAAATATCAGCGAGTTGAAATTTTAAGATATAGCCGAGTACACAAGCAACGGCATGCAAAGGCAAATCATCCGTTAACGCCAGTCGCTGCCAATACATGGCACGGTACGGCATGTCATGGTTATTTTAAATCTTATTTCAATGACATTACAGTTCCGTTACTTTATTTCAATACCACGATGGCGCGACGCATCCTGACATGCCGCAGCTTTTTAAAAAATTCATGGTTATTCCAATACATACCCAGGGCATCTAATTCAGCAGCAAGCTCATCATCATCGATCTCCGGCATGCCGTACTGGCGACCCATCGCTTCCTGGACCTCGTCCGCTTGCTCCAACATGTCTGCCAACTCGTCGTTAACATCCTGGAATATTTTAATTACAAATAGATATTTATTTTTAAGAAATTACCTATATACCTATGACCTAACCTAACCCAAGTAACTGACTGAATATAGCCGCTTTTTAGACAAAATTGAACTCTAGTGCCTAATAACAAAGTACATATTGCTGTAAACGGGAACATACCTCAATGCTATCAATGTTAATCTTCTTGAACTCCTTCTTCATCTGTGTGACTCCGTCCTTCATGGCTGCTACAGTTGCTTGTGTGTCTTTTAGGGTCTGTGTAGCATAGTTAGCCTGCTCCATGTTGAACGATTGCGCCCTCAAGTTCTCTAGCTGCTGTTCATACCTGAAATCATAGCAAGAAGGTTGTTAAGTATATAAACCTTATGTTAGATTTATTGGAATTATGAGAAGAACTCTTTACTCAAACTATAAATGTAAAAGGAACTGTGTTACACTTTCAGGAAAAGAAATTTTTTTTCGCTTAATACCATGAAGTCTGGCCAAAAGTGCGATTGCGGTACAAGGGGTCTCGAGTTCGACTCCAGGATTGGGCAAAGTATTACAAATGTTTTAAAAATTCTCAGTAGTAGCACAGAGTCTGGAATTGTGACCGGTATATGGCAATACGCTCGTCTCCCTATTACATGGGACTCATAACATAAATACTGAAAAGTGGGTGTTACATTGTACATACAGTTTAATGGCATTAAGTACCATACGTATGTGTATCTCTGCCTACTCCTTCGGGGATAAAAGGCGTGATGTTATGTATGCATGTATGTTTCACAAAAACATTACTAGACAAATTTGGAGTACAGAGGAGAACGATTATAGTCTTGAAATCTGGACTGAACTAACACTTGAGTTAATTTTTTCGCTGCAAAAAGCAAGTGAAAGTATTTGCAAAAGAAATACATTTGATATAAAGTGTGGCTGACAATAATATCAACCTCTTTACTGACCGTGTGACGTATTCTGTGTTAAGTATTGATAAAGATATGGCAAGACAAGAACTTGTTTGTAAGTATGTATAAAACAATATTACTCATATTATCAGAATAAAATGAGTGGCGTTTATTAACTAGAGTAAAGCTCCTGACACACAGACTGCCTTTCAACTGCAATGCAACCGCAAATTGCAGTTCCTATGTTTTGAATGCTGTTTTGTTACAACTACAATTGAACTACAAACCAAAAGTGCAGTCCGATTGCAAATCTATTGCAGTGAACTGCAATTTTCAGTTGGATTGCAATTTAATGTGGTTCGTCTGTTTAGAGCTTTAGATAATAAATTGACAGAGTAACAATTAAGTAGGTTAGCCTCTTGACTGCCAGCATATAAGACACAATAGACAACACATTGTGACTCTCTTAGATCTACAGGTAAAAGAATGAAGTAATATAGTGAAGGATTATCTTGATTTATTATCCTTTAGTATTCATCCACCAGCTGTTTCACCCATAGCTCTGCTTCTATTGGTTGTAGAGCATAGACCCTTAAATAGGTCTATTTATGTACGAAGACTATTGGATTATACAACTCAAAATAATTATGTTTATTGTTCTGGAGATTACTGCATTCAAAGAAACAAGAAACTCTTCAGCTTTGCAGTATGTTTCATTATTACAGATATTTTATAGTTGCTTATGACATAAGTAAAATTGCTCAGTAAGGGGCCAACCTTAATAATTTAAGCAGTGTTATTAGGGTCCTAACTATAGAAATTGTCTATACCAAATTTGTGTCCGACTTGTCCTATATTAAATGCAACCGCAATTTACCATGGCTAGTTATACTGCAGATGAAGTAATACCTATTAAGTATTATGCCTAGAAGTTTTGCTTAACTTGTGACTCTAATAGTATTTACTCTATGAGGACTAACTATCCTATAAGGGCAAATTGGACATTGGCAGAATACCCACTCCTCAACAATTATTCTATTAGACTCATATCTCTTTGTAATAGCTAAACCAGTAATTATGCTAATAAAAGTACCTTATAGCCACATATTTAGAGTAGGTAAGTATAATATTCTTACATTTTCTTCTGCTTTAACACCCTCATTGCCTTTTGTTTCACTGAATTCTTTGCTGGTCCCTCTCTCATTTTATTCATTTGATCCTTATATTTCCTGAGCTCGGATTCCAGTTTCTGGACCTTCTGCTCAATATTATCAGCCCTGCTATCTACCTGGAATAAACATTAATTTGGACAATCATGGAAACTATGAATCATCGAAACTATCATCTATTAACCAGTTTGATGTGATTTCAAGTACACTTACATTGCTTATACAGTCCGTAATACTTGGACCAGGTTCCTTAGGTTTTCCTCTTCCGAATATTCTGTTCATCTTGAAATATTAATCGCAAACAGTTATAGAAAGAACAAAAAAGTGAAATAATAGATTCACAACAATTCCGTGGTTTGACGTTTTAACAATCAATCATTCGTCACAGACACTTGTGTTGTGTCAACTTTGACAGAAGCAGAAGAGTGTTCCAAGTAAATGAATTTGTTTTTCTACTATTATCATTTTAACGACTGGTAGGCCAACACTAGTCGTGTCTTGTGAAATTGTAATATAATGTGTCTACGAAGACTGCAAAGAATATCAAGTATACTGAGATACCTAAACACAACCTGTGATCATCAGAGTTCCTATGAAAAATGAAAATCAAGGGCACGAAGCTTAAATCGAGAGGACATCGAAAATCGAATTGAATGTATATTGTGAACTTGCAACCCCCATAAAACTTCAAATCAATCAATCAAATCACAATCGCATTCAAAATCAATGTGATTGCGAATATTTCGTGTCGATGGGTCACTGTCTGATTGGAAATTAGTAAAAAGTAATTTACACATTGGTTTGTTTGAGTTCAGTGCTGTGTTTGATAACAACAATTTTCTTTTAAAAAGTTCATCACCATGGCTACCAACGGAGTTAAGGGCGAAATGGTTTGTATATCAATATAAAAAAATATTTAAGGTCCAATTCTAAATTATTCATTTACTTCTGAAATAACCGGTATTCATAAATAGAGGTAAGAAATATAACCTGATTTTAAATGTTATATTCTTTCACGAAACGCAATAATAATCCATAGTCCAAAATATGCTATGACATTAAATCCATTTAATGATAAAATGATAACACAATCAATAAGTTCAAGAACTAACCCATATTCTTGACATACTATGGCAATAAGAATTAATTAAAATATATCAGAGGCCATAAACAGGCTTAAGTGATGATAAAATGTAATAAACTTCTATTCAAAGTCAATAATATTTTGTGATGTAAACTTACATGGCACCAGGCTATAAATAACCACAAAATTATCCTAATATTATAAATGCGAAGTCTTTATTTTTTGTTTGTTACTCTTTCACTATAAAATGACTAAAGTGTGTGGAACAGTATATTATGGTCTGGAATAACAAATATGACTACTTTTTATTCCGCTGGAACGAATGACTACTTTTTATCCCGGTGGAGCCATTGACAGAAGCTAGTATCTAATAAAAGTTATTTGTAACATAACATCACACCTATTATCACCACGAGTGTAACACCCACTCTTCACTATTTATGTTATGAGTCCCATGTTCCGGGACTCCGTGCTACTACTGAGAATTTTTTAAAACCCAGTAATACTTTGCCCGACCCAGGAATCGAACCCGAGACCAATGAACCTGAGGCCAATTATGCAGTTGAGGCCAAAAGTTATTTATCTCATCGTAATAATATCTATGAAAATGGTTCATTCATAATTTTTCATAGCTTTATACTCATACATGCATTTTTCATACACATTTCGCTTTACATTAATTTACCACATAAGGTCAGGAATCTCATTGATCATTGTCATTTTCATTTCATCACCACATAATTATTTCTAGGTGAGAAGGTTTAGTAATTCATTATGTATCCAGCCTAGCAGCTGCGGTTCCGCCTGTGCCGTCAAATGTTGGAAATGGGACGTCAATCAGATCATCATGAATAGGACTTTGAACAACATGATGTATGGCATCCTTATCTTGAATCGCCCAATCCCACAAAATCCAGCATTTATGAAGCGTCTGTGGAACAAAGGTAGGTGTTTATATAAAATAATATAGGTAAATTTTTAAATTGTAAGTTATAAAATTAATAATAATAAGTTATAGATTTAAGAAATGTGATTGTATTATATTTTATAATTAACACCATTCTATGTAATGGCAATTTCTAATCATTATAAAAGGAAAATAATAATAACATAATATGACATCATGCCTTTATTACCGAAAGGGTAATAATGCCACACAATTCCACTGCACAATGTAACACCCACTTTTCACTATTTATGTTCTTAGTCTCATGTTATTGCTTTGCACAGTTTTTTTTAAAAACCCAGTAATACTTAGCCCAACCTGAGATGACATCCTTTGCCCGGCCATTGCTCTTGCGACCACTAGGCCATAAAGGCATTTAGAAAATACATTTTAATCAGTAGGCACTATTTCAGAGTTATCTATTTAGATACAACAAAGTTAATATTTATAGTTAAATCTTATCTTAATCTTCACATTGCTAATCTGTAGCGTAGCCATTTGAAGTGCTTCTAAAAATCTAGACTGGTATTAACTTCAGGGACGGATTTGCTGATATTGTAGTTACCGGTGTAGGTGAAATATTTTATAGTAGTTACCTAAAAAACGTTTACTTTTTTTTCTGCTTTGGCAACCGAGTCTCCAATACGATGTTAAATGTTTACGTTTTTGTTTTATTAATAATTTTGTTTACTTTTTCAGCTGCTGTCAGGATGACTGTAGATGGCGGCACTAGACAATGGGACAAATTCCTGGGTGGCCTGCCAGATGACTTAAAGAAAAACATCAAGGACCCAGACCTCATCTCAGGAGATTTTGATTCAATTACTGATGAAATATTAGAAAAATACAAAAATAAAGGTTGTAAGGTGAAAGTTCATTTTTATTTATATAACGTTATTGCATTGAATTTTTTGGTAACAATAGTTTTGTCAATGTCACATTTTTTTTTATAATCTTTAGATTATCCACACTCCTGACCAAAACTACACGGACTTCACGAAGGCGTTGATTGAATTGAACATACACACCAAGCTGGCTGGTCTGGAGGTAATTTTATTAGATGAAATACTCTAGGATAGAGTATGCTTTATTGGCACTGTCTATATTCTATACAATAATAAATATTTACAAATAAGTATTAAGTGTGGGAGAGCCATGCTTTGACACGAATGGGCAGGCTCGACCGGAGTGATACCACGGCCTCACAGAAGACTGACGTGAAACAACGCTTGCGTTGTGTTTCGTCGTGTGAGTAAGGTTACCGGAGGCCCAATTACCCCTCCTCCCCTTTCCCAATCCCTGAATCCCCAATAATCCTCAAATCCGTAATCTCCAAAGGTCGGTAACGCACTTGTAAAGCCTCTGGTGTTCCTCCTGTGTACAAGCACACACCGGTTTATTCCATTAACTTTTTTAATGGAATAAACCGGTGTGTGCTGGAGATGGAACAATGTAACTCTACGTAGGTTTTATTTAACCTTTTTTCTTTGACTTTCAGCTGTCTCACGTCATAGCAGTGGGCCAAACGTCTGGTCGCTTGGACCAAATCATAGCCAACATCCAGACTTTGTATTTGGTTAAGGAACGGTTCCTCCTGAATCCAAAAACGAATGTGTTTCTGATGTCTGATGACTCCATATCATGGCTCCTGTACCCTGGAGACCATGTCATATATGTGCCGGAAGAGACTAGGCAGCATAAGAGAGCTTGGTGCTCTTTAGTGCCGATTGGAGAAACCTGCCAGTATGTTACTTCAACTGGATTAAAATGGAACCTCGGTTAGTAATATTACTCTTAGCGATTTCGCACGTGAATCGTAAACGCAGTTGTATTGTGAGCGTATCTTTACGATACCAACTACCATTATGACTATGTGGGTAATGTGGATTTAATGGATAATTTACATACTTGGTTTGCACTTGTATGTGGCTATTATAAAACATACGCCTAAGATACGAAGCTACTCGTGGCAACTTCAAATTTCAGAAAGTTTTCCGTTTTTAAGTACCTACTTGACGGTAGGTAACCCAATAGCACTTAGGTAGGTACAAGGATATGTACAAGGTAATTTTTCACTATTTATTTTTGAATCTATCATTACAATTATGGAAAAATATCAAGCAGTAATTCCATTTCAACTTTAAACTGTCAAACACCGAGCGGTCACCGGTGACCGCAACCTATTGTTCTTTTATTGTGTCTATAAATACGGTACTCGACGAGTTAAAATATATTGTTCCTGTTTTTTATAGGTATTATTGATTTGATATTTTTCAGATAACCAACCTTTGCGGTTTGGTGGAATCGTAAGCACGTCCAATACCTTCGATGGTTCACAGAAGGTCACAATAAAATGCAGCCACACTCTACTATGGTCGATGAAAGTACCCCTTATTACAAGTAAGTCGATCTACATTTCAAAATTCATAATCATCATTCTTAGCCTTTAGCCTATTATTGATACAAGACTGCATGTTTGTCTAGCCATACAATCAGTTTTATTTTTTTATTAAACCAAGCGGTCTTTGCACATAACATTAAAAAAGAGACTGCCATAAAAACATGCCTATGTAATTTTTTCGGCGTATTCCATTTGCCCCTACCCCCTTAGCCCCAAACCTCAAACTTGACGCACTCTTCTGTTATTACGAGTGTCCATGGATCGCGCCGATTGCTTACCACGAGATGATCTGTTTGCCCGCTTGCCTCCTAATTAACTAAAAAAAAAACTAAATGTACCAAAAAAATAACATTAATACTTCTATACTCAGTTTTCTATTATGTGCATTTTAGGACGTAAGATAAATACACGTGGTAAGTTTTTTTAAAAAAATTAAACATTTCTTTTTTGTTTCAGTGTCGTAAATGGAAAATGTATCGGACAATTTTGTATTAACTGTAGGAGAAATATTCCACAGGTTTGGTGTCTATAAACTGCTCATGTAATACGGCAGCCATATTAACTTTTTATACTGTCAATTTTGTATCTTCCTAATATTAGTGTAATCATCTAGGTAAATATAAACGTGCCAAGTGCATCTTCTGCCATCACAAACAATTACAAATTGAATCATTTCTTACTTCAGAAGTGATATGATCCGAATGAAATCCTTTTCACGCACTTTTGTTAACACAGACCTTATTAACGAAGATTTTTGCGGTTGCCAGAGGGCGCCACTGCCGTTTTAAAGTCTTCTTAGTACTTACATTGACAGCTGTGAGAAGTTTACTTAAAAATACTTTAGTTATTCACACATTTTATATGTGATACCAGTGTCATGTAATCCTTCTTGATTTTTACTGCTCTTAGATACTTTTAGGCAAAAACTTTAACTATTTATGGATTTTGTTGAAAAGAGTAAAGATCAAGGCTAACCCATGCCAAAAAGGTTATATACCTATTCATAAAATTATTTTATGGTTAATAGCAATGTACTCCTAAGTTATCACAACGCTCATTCCATTTAAAATATAGGTACTTTAATGCCTATGTTAAAAAAGTAGGTACTTAACTACATTGTCAGTCGTGGGATAAAATGTATAAATTCAATATATTATAGGATGTTAGTTTATGGTCCATTTCCAGTTCATAACTAAGTAAATGTAACACAATGTTTCTGCTTTTGAAGTCGATTTTTGTTTAACCTCTTTCGTCGAGTACTCGACAATGGGTTCGCAGACTCGACTGTAAAACAAAATATTATTCGTTTTCTATCAGAGTTTTCCATAGCCGAACTGTGAACTTTCTGACATTGTTGTATGGCTATTAACTTGCCTCGTTACTAAGGATGAGGCATAAATAATATAACTAGTGTAGCTAAGCTACGTATTATTTACTTTTTATTAGAATAATTTTAGGACAGCTAAATTAGGCACTCGTTAACCGCCTATTAATATTGAACTTATAAGTTCCACGCTTGCCAAGCGGATCGGATATCGCTGTTTAAAAGAAGGTTTAGAGCGCTGCTGGCCGGCCTCTACATAATGTATAGTCCATAAGTCCATTTTTTAATATTAAAGTGAGTTTTCATAGGTCCACAATTTTTTTTAGTGTTGCCCCACACTAGGATTTTCTCTTGTGTCGTGGATACAAGTTCACATGACATCCAGACCCGAAACAACAATATGTGGATCACATAAAGAGTTGCTCCGTGCGGGAATCCTACCCGCGACACGTTGTGCGGCAGCCGGTTGTCAAGCCACCGCATTAACCGTGCCGTCAATTGATCTCCCATTTATTTTATTTCACGACTGATGATGTGACCTTGATGTAGAGTGAACTTCTATAGAATAGTAGGTAAATTGTCAAGTTTGTCGTGGGAACGATGTTAAAATATCCACTTATTGTATTGTATACGTAATTTAACGAATGGATGTCGGTGTTTTGTATAATTATTAAGTTGTTTTAATTAATTTATGATCTGATAGTTATGCAATGGTTTTAATTTGGCTTCAAATGCTGTTATTGTGTCCTTAAATGTACTGTGTGATGTGGACACACTGAGACATTGGTTATATTTAGTTTAAACTTGTTTTATTGTTAGTTGCTTGTATATTATAAGTTTATAATGCCAGGCGACAAATTTTAACCTATATTTGTGCATAGTTTACAGTACAGACAAACAGGAAGTATTACTTTTGTGATAGTAAATAATAATGTAGATACGTTTACACGTATCGTTATAAAGTTACCTTTATAACTAACCAAAGCACTTATTTAAATTCCTACTCAATTTATTGAAATACTGAATTCATATTCAATCAGTTTAGTGTTCAATCAGTACTCGATTAATTTTCATGATTGTGATATTTTGTTGTGTTATAAGAAGCAAACGATGATTACTCTTTGGTTGAATAATTTTAATCTCTTCCCTTTTTGCCGTGTGATAGCTGTGAGTCTATATTTAACGGAGAACGATCACTAATAAACCTAGTCCTTTCAACGCACATGCCAAGATTGCTGATTACATTGGCAACTCTTTTCTAGAAGAGACTCAAGCACTCGAATACTGAAAGGCTATTTTAAATTAACTTAATATCGTGCCATCTCTGTCACTTTACAAATAATTTGTAGTGACAGAACTATACTTAAACGCGACATAAAACCTACCAGCCGTTCACTATTCGGACGATAGACCAGCAGTGAGTCTCACGTGTTATTGATGACGATCTTTTTCTGAATTATTGGAAATAGGACCATGACAATAAATACTTTTTTAAGGTCTACAATGTACTGAAAAAATAAATGATAATCTTCTCTTTTCTTCTACTCTATTCGTTGTGTGTATACAGAAGAAAATACAATTATTGTACATATGTTGTAAAAAATTTGTCGCCTGGTGTTGCCAGTTAATAATTAATTTCATTCTACCTCGCATGTTGTTAATTATTGTTCCTTGTTTATATTAGTTGTAGTACAATTTGTTAATGTTTTTATTGATTAGTATGGAATGAAATAATTCAATATCAGTGGAAGCCCGTTTTAGGGGTTAATGTGATAGTTGTGCCCACCCCTTGACATTACGTAGGTAATAGATACTCAGATAGTTTTTTAGCTTCCGCCATCATAATTACAAATTAGCAAGTTAAGTTACCAGCCGGTCATTCAATTCTATTACACCATGTATACAGCCTAATCGATTAACCTACTTCTTTTTGTGGAAGTTGATCAGAAAATAAATAGTGTTAACAAATTTTTATAGTAGCTCTTATTATTATGAACAATGTAATCAATTTCTGTAATGATTAATAAATTTTGTAAAACTTATTTATAAAAATATGTGTATCAGGTAACGGTAGGAGTAGAGTGAGGCTCTAACGTGTAACTTAAATATATTAATATTTTATCTATCAATCAGACATCTATACAAACTTATTTTGATATTTAATCTGTATCAAGTGATGTGCGCTTAGTTTACTAACTGAAAAGAGTAGTAGACAGTGTATCAAAATTAAAAATGTAATTAGTCCGTCAGTTAGATAATGGAAAATATTAGACACATATTACAATACTTGTATAAAATGCAGTTAAGTTTAGGAGTGGGAGACCGTTGCTTCACGCTACCTTATAAAATGTAGAAAATCGTGGCGTCACACGATATTTCAAATCAATATATCGTCGAAATTATTTAATATTGTAAGAAAAGAAGAAGTACGTGTCTAATGTTTTAAAATAATCTACCAGACGGACATTAAAATTAAATTTAGTATACTACCCTTTTACGGAACATATTGTTGCAGAAATGTTTATTTTTTTGATTTATAAACCATGACGTGATTTTATTCTAGTGAGAGTGTAAGAGAAAGAAAACTGTTTTAGTAAAGACCATAATAATATCGAGGGGTAACGGACTATTTGGTTTAAGCGACATTTTGGGCGATATTGAGTTATTATATATATTCGACGGAGAAAAATTTGCTGATTCCGAATATATATATGACTCAAATAGTCCGTTACCCCTCGATATGATACCCGGTCTGGGCGAAAGTCGAACTTACGACAATTTATGAGGCAAGCGAGAGATGACCGTTCAAAAAGTTTTCATTTATTTATACTTGATAGAAGGATATAATACCCTTAATCTTAGCTAAGCACACATTGCATTCGAATTACTGAAAGTGGTAAAACATCGGTTCTACATGTATTTTTTATCACAATTTATTCTCCCGCCATTTCAACGGGTTGATGTCGTTTTTTGTATTCGTATATCAATTTGTATAAAAACGGTATACGAGTTCTTAGAAGAAATATGTTGTCTGGAACAAAATAAGTTTATTATCAAA